GAGAAATCTAGGAAAGGTTTCCTTCCTTCCGCTTCTTTCTGGTGAATAAAATTAATCAGATAGATCATAAAATCAGAAACAATCCTCACTTTTTTCCTACTTGGATTGCTTTAGAAATAGAAGTGTAAACTTGGATTTTTTTTTCTTGTGTGAGGGTAAAAGGGGTGGGGGGAAGAGTAGTCCTCTACTTCAGGTGAATCACCCTTATTTTGTAATTTCTCTTGAGAAGAAAGAGATTCCTTGTCTTGTTCCACATAATAACTTTCCAGTTATTTCTCAACTATAGTTTATTAAATGTGCTCTATAAAGGCATTTCTTCTCTTTTCTTCATTCTTTCTCTTTTTTATCTTTTTTTTATTTTCCTTTTTCTTTACTACATTCTTCTCTCCTCTCAAAAGAATATCTAAATGGTTTTAGTTTTTTTAGTTTGTGCTCCTTTCCTTTCTTTTGACTACTGAAAATCAGACCCCAACAGGGTCTGAGAGAAGTAGTGATACCTGGACAGTTACTGAAAAGGGAATATCACAAATCAATAAAATCCAACAAGTGAAGAAAGAGACTTTAGTTGAGATGTTTAACCATTCACTTTTGTTCTTCATTTAATTAGTAGTAAAGTGGTGGTATTTTTAATAATCTATTTATTACAACAAAAAAAAAACCTTTTTTCAAGTAAATAATAACATATCTCTCAAATCCATTTTGTCCTTACAAAGAATGGGTAGGAAGTATAAGTTTTATTTTTAGAGTAATTGCAGGCTGCCATAAGAAAAAATTAGTTGGTCTAAATGCTCCTGGCTGGGAAACATTGTATTTTTCTGCTAGGTTATAAAATTAGCTGTGTAAGCATAGTATGCCAAAAATTATTCTATTTGGTTTTGTTGCCCTGATGGGAAGCAAAATTTTATGTGTTTGTTTTCTCTCTCTTGCCACAAGGAAATCCCCAGGGCTTTGCTTTCCCATTGCCAAGAGGAAGAACTAGAATATCTGTTCCATTTGCCATTTGGAAAGTCCTTTGTTATGTTCTATCCCTTAAAGGAAGAAATAATAATGCTGCCCTGGTCTTTTCTAAAAAAGGAAAAACACCTGCTAAGAGAAAATAATCTATTTTAACAGATTGTTTGAGATAGCCATTTAACAGGGTGTCTGGGAACTACAGTGACCATAGATCTTGGTACATGATTTGAGAGAACTGTACTTATCCAATTTCACCCTCTTACTACTGAGACATGGTCCAATTTTACTGAGAGCTCAAGTATATAAAAGGTATTTATATACCCTTGCTCTCATGCTAATCTCCCTACAAAATAGGGCCCTCTATGCTTTTCCTGTTTGAATAGATCAGTTACACAGCAATGGAAGAAAGGCTGTAGTTGTTTTAGTCCCAATTTCAAACAAGAATTTTCAAACTGCAAAACCTTAAAAAGGGAGAAAGAAAACATATGAACAAGTTAAATCCCTGAAACTGCCTTGATTTTCATTTTTAAATGTACAAGATACCAAGTTAGTGGTGCCTGTTCAGCAGCGTGGTAAATTACCATGTCTCAAAAGTTCCCTCATTTACCCCTGTGCCAAAGGCTGAAGTCAGATAGGTTTGCACATAGCAAGAGGAGAAACAACTGGAGTAGAAATTAACAATGAAGGTGAGAAATTATACTGAATGATATCCATGGGGTTGTGGGTTAGGAATGAAGGACCAGGCTCAGAGCTGGCACACCCTACACAGTGCAGGCTGGAGGACAGAACCTGTGACGCCTTCCCATGAAAATGTAGCTAAAAGCACAAGGCCAAACAGCTGCTCAAGAAACAGGTAACAAATCATGCATTGTTAATCATATGCCTGCATAAGAAAAAATCTCCCTACTTGTTAAAAGAATTAACATGGATCTAATGATCATCTCCTAAAAGTCGGAGACTTCAGTTCAAGGCTTTCAGCTGCAATAATAATGTTTAAAAAAATCCTGCAGGAAAGCAATGACAAACATTCCAATTTATAGCCTTCTTATTAATACATGAATTCAAATAAATTAAGAATTATAAGACTGTGACTGCTCTGATTTTGTGTGATATATTATCATTTTGAGGCACATGACTCAAGTGCCCATTTTCATGTAAATACTTTTCTGGAGTCACATAAAGTAGAATATAAAGAGAATCAGCCACAAATAATGCAGGAAAGAACACTGTGCTTTTTTATTTTGATATATTTGTTGGCTGGACTAAAAGTTTTGCGCTCATACTATTGTAGCTGTACTGGCTACCAAAAAACAAGCCTTGGTAATGACTTTTGAATCAGTAGCAAAGGAGAATATTAGAACAAGAAAATGAAGAGCTGAAATGCCAGTTCTCATCATGGAAAGGACCAATTCAGTTCTGAGTGGTCTGTCAATGGATTCACCTATTTGTTTTGCTCTGTGGAGTAGCAACTCAGTCCTCAGTGTCTGGGAGCTGAAAATGCAATTTGGAAAATCAAGCAATACAATTTCCATGCACCTGTTTACCAAATAAAAAAATACTTTAAAAATATGTATTTTCAATCAAGAAAATTACTAATTTAGTAACTGGGGAGGTGAATGAATGGCTTCTGAACTACAACAGAAAAGTGTCACAGCCATCATTTCAAGTTCTCCAGCATGGTTATCATGGTTATATATGGAAACAGATGTTTGTATTGATTGCATGGTTAATTTTGCTGAAGTCCTTGGTTAATACACTTTAGAAACAAGTCAGTATGCATATACAAAAGTTGAAAACTGTTATCTTCAGTGTTTCGGTGTCATCATATGGCTTCTTTCAAGCACAATCACCTGTGAATTCATCAGTTTTTGCTGCAACATGAGAGACACATTTTCATGTGGGTTGGTCAGTTTGAAATGCATTAAAAACAAAGAATTGAGGATTATACCTAGTTACATACACATCATAGCTTAATGAAAGGTAGATTTTATTAGGTAAATCAGAAGATGTTAAAATCAGAAGCTATGCTTTTTCAGGGAAAAGCTCAATTTGTTTTCAACTGGAAATTTCTATGTCAAATAAGATAGAATTCAGATCCTGGGGCTCAGCTTTGCTTTTTTTGTGGCTGAACCGTGTGTTTCTCATTTTGAGTAACACTGAAATTAGAGCACAACTCCCACCTACACAGAGTATACTGGTCACACAACAAACATGGGGAGTGACCCCCCCACTAACCAAACCTGGGAAGCTATTCTGGGCTGCAGGGACACCCAACAACCCCTCAGAATCAATTTTTCTTGAGGAGGGTGGTGAAATGCAGGAATAGGTTGTTCAGAGAGGTGGTGGGTGCCCCATCATTGGAAATATCCAGTCAGGCTGGATGGAGCTCTAAACAAGCAGGTCTAATGGAAGATGTTCATGGTCATTGCAAGGGTGTTGGACTCTGTGACCTTTAAGGGTTCTTTCCAACTCATATGTCAGTTCTGTGACATATGATGGTACAATTGCACAGGCCTGCAGCTGGCACTGGTTGCAGCAGCACCCTTCTGCCAGGAGAGGAAAAGGAAAGGGGCTGGTGACTGGTTCCTGCTGAAGAATGGCTTGGGCCAAGGCAGCTGAGGTGGGGCAGGGCCTGGGAGCCACGTTTCACCCTCCAGGCCATGAGCTCATCTGGGGACGGGCCAGCTGCTCACAGCTGCTCCTGTGCCAGCAGCACCTCGGGTCCAGCTCTGCCTGTGCTGGGGGTGTCGCACAGGCCAGAGGGGCTGGAGCACAGTGACAGCGGCCAAAGCTGAGGGCACGGCAGGGCCATCCACAGCCCTTTCCCTACATCAACCCCCTGTGCTGTCATCCATCACAGAAACACAGAACTAAGGTTAGAAGGGACCTCTGGAGATCATCTAACCAACACCTGTCAAGGCAAGGTAACCTGGAGCAGGTTACACAGGAAAGCATCCAGGTGGGTTTTGAATGTTTCCAGCGGCAGACTCCACGACCTCCTTGGTGGACATTTCCAGTGCTCTGCCACCCTCAATGTGAAGAAATTTTTCCTCATGTAGAGGTGGAAATTTTTGAGTTTTAGTTTATGGTAATTGCTCGTTGTCCTGTTGCTGGGCACCACTGAAAAGAACCTGACACCAACTCTTGACACCCATCTCTGAGATATTTATATGCATTGATGAGACTCCCTCTCATTCTCTTCTCCAGACTAAAAAGGCCTAGCTCCCGCAGTCTCTCCTCGTAAGAGATGTTTCAGATCCTTCATCCTCTTTGTTGTGTCCCCTGGACCCTTTTTCTTGTACTGATGAGCCCAGGATGGACTCAGCACTCCAGATGTGGCCTCACCAGCGCCGAAGAGAGGGGGAAGATCATCTGGCCACACTCTTCCCGATGCACCCCAGCACACCACTGACCCTCCTGCCCGCAAGGACACACGTGCCGCCTCACGGTCACCCTGTCACCCCCCAAGGCTCCCACGCCCTCCGGAGCCGCCGGGCCGCGCTGGCGGTGGCGGAGCGGCCGCAGGGGGCGGGCCGCAGCGGCAGCAGAGGCGCCGCCTCCCCGCCCGCCCGGCACTGCGGGCCCGGGTGCGAACGGGAGCGGCGGCGGCGGCGCGGTGCTCCTGGCGGGCGGGCGGAGGTGAGCGGCGCCGGGGCCGGGCGGGACGGGCCCCATCCCCGCCGGGCGCTTCTGGGTGCTGCCGCCGCCCTTGGGGCTCTCCCTGCTGCCCATCACGGTCTCTGGGCAGGCTCTGGCGGTGCCGGCGCCCCGCGGAGCGGTGCGGCCCGGCCTCGGGCAGCCGCGGGAGCGCTCCGGTACCTGGCGGGGCGGGCGGGCCTGGCGGCGCTGCCCCGGCTCCGCTCCTGTCACGGGCGGTGTTGTCGTTGCAGCTGGAGATGCCGGCCCGGACCGGGGCCCCGCCGAGCTGCTCCGGGCTGGATCTCCGCACCGCGCTGCCGCCCGCCAGCCCGCCCAGGGCGCTCCGGCCCGCGCCCGGCCTCCCGCCAGCCCCGTAAGTGCCCGCCCGAGCGGGGCTCACATACAGCGGCCCGGCTTGCGTTGGTTCGGTCTTCTCCTCCCCTAGTTATTTTTCCAGGAGCAGTTTTTCACGTGTGTCACCATCTGGCTGACACAGCTCTGTGATGTTCTCTTAGCTACTTTAAGAGCATATGTCAAATATGTATTAATTTTTATAACTCTGGAATCGGTTAATTCATGGAAGAAGGTTGGTTTTGTTGAAATCTGTTCCTGAATGACCCACCTCAGTTGCTTCTTACTATCTGCTTCCCATTTATTTGCTAATTGATTGCGCAATAACTTGATGAAAAATCTGTCCAGAGGCTGAAGTTAGGCTAACAAGTCTTTGTTTTCCTTTGTGGTCCTCCCTTCTTTTACCAATATCTGCTAGTCTACCTGTCTTGTTATCTCTTTAGTTCTGAAGATGTCACTTCGGTCACAATTTTAAGCATCAACAGCTGATTTCGTAAGTGTCTGCTGACTTGAAAATCCTTATCTCATCTTTAACTTTATCCTTTACTCATAACTTACCTTTTCCACTTTGACCTCACCTTCTGTATCTCCGAAGAAGGAATTTCTTTAAATTTAAACCTATTCACAGTTGACTTTTCTGCTGAGGGCTGAAATACAGAAGACATTTAGCAATTCATCCTACTTTGTATGAGTTATAACTTGTTCCTTTTCCTCTGAAGTTATAAACCTTGACTTCTGTTTTTTGTCTTTTTATTGTATTTATGGAACTTGTTCCATTTATCTTCTTCACTAGTTACAAACTCACTTCTGTACCATCCTTGTTCTGATTTTATCCTTACATGATAGCTCTGTGTCTCTTTGTCGTTTTATAGTACTCCTTAGCCATGCACATTATTAGTTGGTATTTTTTTGAATCTTGTGTGATTTTTCAGGTCAGGAAAGCTCTCCTGTTGCATATATATAACAGTCTTATACACTCTTGCCTCTGAATTGCAGTTGTGTATTTAATACAGTCCCTTTCAGTAACTGCTAGCTCTTTTCTCTTGTACATCTCTTAGATTACTAGTCTAAAAGTCATGTCAGCCTGTTCCCTGAGGGCTTTTTATGAAAAAAGTTAGTTAGTCTGTTAGTTTGATTCTGTTACTTGCACTGTATTTTCCTTAGAACAGGCAGTGAGAAACTTTGGCCACCAGGCCACATTCAGCTTGCCAGAGCAGTGCATCATGTCCAGATCCTGTGTGTCCACTCTCCCCAAGATCCTTTGGACTAAAACTGAAAGTAGGCTGCAGCATGGTTAAATGGTACTGGTAGCCCATTTCGTGCTGGTGGTTCCCTTCAATCTCAGTTTTGCAGCACATTCTGGTTACATGGTGTGAACTGAAATGGGCTGCTGTAATCACATGGTGAAAGCATGCATGTCCTGTCACATCCAGTTACATCTCTTATCTCATTATATATTCTCATTATGTTCCTGAGTGTGAATCCATCCTGATACAGGAAATACTGGTAGTTAGGTCATGTGTTAAATGCATTTCAGGTCACATGGTAAGGAAAAAGTCACTGCTTTTTTGAGTGCATGCATAAAAATCTTTATGCTCTGCCAAAAGGATTCACTGTTAGAACCTTTTCTTCGAATATTAAGTTTGTGGTCACTTTCACGTATTGTTTTCTGTATTTTAACTTCTGAGTCCACTTTCAGTGAGTTTGTACCTTCTAGTCAAAGCTGAAATGAAAAGTGCCCATTCTCTAGTAGCTTTCTCTAATTTCTGATACACAAAGCTGCTTTTAATTGTGGGATGTTGTTCACCACACATGCTGTATTACTAGCCAATGGCTGGTTAATGTCCCCCACTGATGATGAATTGCCATCATATCAGCTCTGGGATAGTGGCTCAAGAAAAGGTTCTGTGTGGTCTGTTGTTGGCTGCTCCCAAGACAGCAACCTTACGATTTCTGTTTGCTCCTTCTTAGCCTGCCTCTCTCATTGCTTCCTTAATTTTCAGAATTTATTCCTATTCTACAATGATATTGGCTTTGCCTGGCAAGACTGGTAGCAGGATGGGAAGGAGTGCTGTAGGGGTGATTTCTGTGAGAAGCTGCAGGAATCTTACCCTGTGTCTAATGGGGCCAGTGGCTAGCCAGGACCCATCCCATCAGCAATGGTGGCAGCACCTCTCAGGTAACATAAGTAAGAAGGGAAAAAATAACTGCAGCTGCAGAAGAGAGGATGAGAACACGTGAGAGAAATGACTTACATAGACACCAAGGCCAGCAAAGAAGAAGAAGGAGGAAGAGGAGGTGCCCTAAGCACTGCAACCTGTGGTGCAGGCCATGGTGAGGCAGCTGGCCCCCTGCAGCCCATGAGGGTTCATGGTAGAGCAGAGATCCACCTGCAGCCCGTGGAGGAGCCCCACACTAGTCTAGGTGGATGCCTGAGATGAGGCTGTGACCCCATGGGAAGCCCACACTGGAGCAGGCTCCTGGCATGGACCTGTGGAGAGAGGAGCCCACATTGGAGCAGGTTTCCTAGTAGGTCTTGTGACCCCATGGGGACCCACATTGCAGCAGCCTGCTCCTGAAGGGTTTCACTCTGTGGAAGGGACCCTCACTGGAGGAGTTTGTGAAGAACTGTGTAGCCTGTGGGAAGGACTCTCAGTGAGAAGTATGTAGAAGACTCTCAATGTGGGAGGGACCTCATGCTGGTGCAGGAGAAAGATTTCTCTCCCTGAAGAGGAAGCAGCAGCAGAAACAGCATGGGAAGAACTGACCGTAACATCCATTCCCCATCTCCCTGTGCTGCAGAGGAGGAGGGAGAGAATAGTGAATAAAGTTAAGCCCAGGAAGAAGCTTACTGAGGTGAAGGGAAGGTGTTTCTTTAGGATTTGTTTCATTTCTCATTATCCTGTTCTGATTTTGATTGATAATAAAGTCAGTTAATTTCCCCAGGTAGAGTCTGGTTTGCCTCTACTGGTAATTGGTGAGTGATCTCTCCCTGTCCTTATCTCAGTTCATGAGCCTTTTGTGGTATTTTCTTTCCTCAGCCCAGCTGAGGAGAGGAGTGATAGAGCAGCATCTTTTTGGACACCTGGCCTCGAGCCAGGGTCAACCCCCACAACAATGCAGAACCACCTAGGTCATGACTGTTGTTTCGTGTGAAGACTTCCCTCCTAAGGGCTGTTTTGTTGGTTTTTTATGTCTTTGTTAGAGCTTTATTGCAGTTCTGTGACCCAGGATATAGTAGTATTTATTTTATTTTTCTGCAAGCCTTAGCTTCTGTTCTTCTTCAAAACATCCCTTACTACACTGAATTTGAGTCCTGAAATTATCTTCCCTTTAATTATTGTGTGAAATAATCTGTCTCTTCCTGCCTTTAGCTTTTTATGGAAGGCTGTCCCATGTGTTTGTCCCCAGGATTTATCTTGCCTGGATAGAAAATTGCGTTAAGCATATTTGTGACTCATGGCCTTGAATCCTTTACCCTTGCATCCACAGTTAATCCTTATACATCCATGGCCAGACCAAGCAGTCTGACCTAGAAATGTCATTAGTCATCTCAAGACTAGGGACTAGGTCTTGATAAACTTCTTTGTTGTTTTTGCCATTGGATCCACATGGGCAGCCCATTTCCAGACTGGCAGGTGAGTATGTCAGATGGATGTTTGTCATGGTGTCATGACATTTGCAGCTTTGAGACTTTTGCATCTCCTCCTTCATGGCCAGGAAAGAATATAGCAATAATAACCTGCATAAATTTTTAATGGAATTCAGCTTCTGTGTATTCATTGATCTCATGCTGATCACAGGCCAGTGCTCTTTACTTTCTACTATTTTCCAATTTTCTTTATGTTTCTACTCATTCTATTGACCATTAGTTTCAGGAGTGCAAAGTTGTCTTGTGGGCCTGTATTCCAAAGCAGTGGAAGGTAAGAAATAGGAGAAGATTTAAAAAATGTTGTTTACTTAAATAACTGTATTACTGAAGTACTGTGTTTCTTGTATCTCCTTCTACTGGTGACATTGTTAGACAAAATTGATTAGCACATACTTGATTAAGGAGAAAATATAATATTAAAAACTTAGAACCAAAGATTTTGCTTCCAGAGGTGTTAATGGATTTTTTGGTCTCATAGAATTGTATGATGCTGACTTCTGTTGTTTTTTCTTTTTTGTTTTCTTCTCTTTCCGTTTTTTTTTTTTGTTTTTTTTTTTGGTTTTTTTTGCCTCTAAAGAAATCATTGTAGGTTTGGTGTCTTGGAAGTATGGAATCAATCTCTATGATGGGGAGTCCCAAGAACCTCAATGAAACTTTTCTACCAAATGTTGCCAATGGCATCAAGGATGCCAGTAAGGTCACAATAGGCATCATTGGAAGTGGAGACTTCGCTAAGTCCTTGACAATCAGACTTATCAGATGTGGGTACCACGTGGTCGTAGGGAGCAGAAACCCTAAACACGCTGCTGACTTCTTTCCCCATGTGGTTGATGTCACTCACCATGAAGATGCAGTAACTAAAACAAACATCATTTTTGTAGCCATACACAGAGAACATTACATCTCTTTGTGGGATCTCAAACATTTGCTTGCTGGTAAAATTCTGATTGATGTCAGCAATAATACAAGAGTAGACCAATATCCAGACTCCAATGCAGAGTATTTGGCATCACTTTTTCCAGATTCCCTAATTGTCAAAGGATTCAATGTCATTTCAGCTTGGTCATTGCAGTTAGGACCAAAGGATGCCAGCAGACAGGTAAATGTTTTTATTTGTATTAATTTAACTTATTTGTAAGATGAAAATGACAGGAACTGAATTTAACAGCCAGAGCTCATGAGATTTACATTCCCAGACTTAACATGCCTAAAATGTTGGACCTTTAGCTTACATTTAAATAGTAAGTAAAACCTTCAGAGTTTAGTTCATCCCACTGCAAGACAGATGAAGTAAGTGGTCCGTTTTTTTCCCTGTGTTGCCAGTTTGTCTTTAAAGATTGTAGAGGAAATGTGGATACTAGCTTAGAGTAAACAACTGACCTTTCAGTGACTACAGACAGAGGAGAAGAGTTGGGTCTTAATATTTTCTACAGGAAATACGTTCTACACTTTATACAAGGGTAGAGACAGTCTTTCCAAGTGTTTTTTAGTTGCAGCAAAAGAGATGCACAGAAATCTGAGGTCTTGATCCCAGAGCTCGGGAATCAGCTGTTCTAAAAATACTTGCATTCAATGTAGCAGTCGAATGATTGATCTAGCTTTTAGACTGCCCCAAAATCATAAATATGAGGGAACAGAAGGCGGCACATATGTTTCTAAGTGATCATTCATTTGATCCAGGGCTGTTTGGGAACATTATGTTCAAATTCCTTCTCAGTATGTTCTGCAAAATCCATCCTGCATATGGAAAATGCACCTTTATGTTTTTCATGCTTTGCTGAGGTGATGTAAAGGATTTAAGCCTGTGCAAGCATCTAGTCCTTCACAGTTTTATGAAATCTGAGAGATACATAAGAAATAACTAATGTAACGTGACTGCTGGAGACTAAATTCAGTTTTCTGGCACTTCTGATAGATTTAAATGGAATGGAATTGATTTTTAAATTATGCTAATTCCATATAAGTTCGCCATACTTTTTATCCCCTCTCAGAATAGCACTACACTAAAAGTAATTCACTTCAGTCAAAACAGATCATACCTGCTTCAGTGCAGGTGATCAGCAAATAGTGTTGGGCAAACTATTGCCCATTGCAAATTTTAAATTTTAACTTGAAGTTCTTTATATCAGTACACCGCTTTCACTGTATAAGCAACTCGCCTTTGAACAAGTTTTTATTTGGCTGCTAGTTTTTGTCTTTTCTGTTTAATGCTCAAATCTGAAATCTCTGGAAATCTGGGTTATGAAATTAAGCTGAAATTGTTACCCATGGAGAGATTACACAGTTTACTGCTTCTCATTCTCTGTATGCTATAGTTATTTAAGGGTCATCATTCAAAATTCCTATATTTTTGAGAGATTTTGGATTTTCTGAAATGCTTTTAGCTGTTGCTTCAAGTTAATCCAGTCCTGTAGACATTTCAGTATGACAGGTTTCAGTGTACAGATTACCAAGACATCCCTCATTATTAAATCCAAGAAAAAGCCAATTTTCTTTTGATTATTAATAAATCAGTGTGTGTATTTGCACTTTGGCTATATTTTTATGTGATTTTATTGTCATATTGGTGATACAAGCTGGGATAAAGTGTACCGTTTTAATGGTTGTGTTGTAGATTTGATTTGGAAGCCCTTAAAGTTTTTGGTGGGTTTTGCTGGTTTTTTGTTTACCTTTGAGTCTCTTTCTCTGACTACAGATAATTCCCTTGACTTTCCCAACAGGTCTATATATGCAGTAACAATGTTCAGGCTCGCCATCAAGTTATTGAGCTAGCCCGCCAGCTCAGTTTCATTCCTATTGATTTGGGGGCATTGTCATCTTCAAGGGAGATTGAAAACCTGCCTCTGCGACTGTTCACCCTGTGGAAGGGGCCTGTAGTGATTGCCATTAGCCTGGCAACGTTTTTCTTCATCTATTCCTTTGTCAGAGATGTCATCCATCCGTACATGAGAAATCAGCAGAGTGACTTTTACAAGATTCCCATTGAGATTGTGAACAAGACTCTGCCCATTGTTGCTATCACTTTGCTTTCTCTGGTATATTTGTCAGGACTTATTGCAGCTGCTTATCAGCTTTACTATGGCACCAAGTATCGGCGATTTCCTCCTTGGCTGGACAACTGGCTCCAGTGTCGGAAGCAGCTTGGGCTGCTCAGTTTTTTCTTTGCAGCGGTGCACGTGCTGTACAGCCTCTGCTTGCCTATGAGGAGATCGGAGCGGTACCTGTTCCTCAACATGGCCTATCAACAGGTAAGACAAGTCTTTGCTTCAGCAAGCCAAAAACGCCTTGGCTGAGTGCATATGGCTCCTGAATACAATAATTGGGTTTTTCTTGATCTGGTCTACTGCTTTTGGCACAAAATGTTATGGGTTATCTTATGCAGAGGTGGTGCCAAATAAGGAGACTAAAAGAAATATCTGTGCATTTTGCTCACCTTGTGGGTTAATCTGCAGTCAGGTTTGTCTGAAAGGGGGAATCAAGGACATGTCCTATTGAAATTCCAGATAGTAATATACATAAGATGAATATACAATAGACAGGATAAGAGCAACAGCAGGAAAATTTGGAGGTATGTGCCTTTCTATGTATACTTAACACATGGGGGAAGTATATATATCATAAGTACATTTACAAATGTGAAAAGTACAAGGGCAGATACTATAATCATACTTACAGATACTTCTATGTTCCAAGAAGAAAAAAAAAAGAAGATGCTGATATTTTGTAACATTTTGGACCAATGCTAAAAATACTTTCTTCTTTTAAAATTCTGTGGACATCATCAATTGCAGGCAATAGAAATTGACTCATAGTTTCCAGGAACAATTGATCTTGCATAACCCTGAAACATTCTCCAACAAATCTGTCATCCTCTAGAAGAGGGTCTGATGCTGCTGTCTGTCAGTGAGGTTATTGTAACCTTTAAAGTGGCAGAAAAGCAGCATTGCCAGAAAAACAGCATTGCCATTCACCACATAAAACCTGTAGGAAAGAGAGATGTGATAGAACAGAAAGGCAAACCAAATAAGGAAATACAATCAAATGTAAAAAATCAACAGGGAGTATCACAAATTCTGAAAGGGCTAGCGTCAAAACTGAATTTAAGAGAAAGACAGGAAGGGCAAAACTGTAATAGGCAGCAAGAAACCATTATTCACACTTAAAATTAGTAATACTAAAAGATTCACTGGTACTTTTACTAAGAAATTATCTTCATTTTAATGATACTGTAAAACTCACACTTGCTAGTATTTCTGGTGCACCTTTTTCAAGACATGTCCTATTGCAATAGTTAACCTAGAAGTGGAAAAAATAATTGAATATCTACGTTTCTTAGTTGTTAAGGTCTTGAATTCTTTCTTTTTCTGGTAAAGTTCTCCAGTGAGAACGATCTTGGAAAAATCTGATGTCAATAAGGAAAGAGAGAAACAAGCTGGACTCAGCATAGAAAAGCTAAAGGAAATTATGCTGAACTATTTAAAAATGTAACAAACTAGAAATAAATTGCAGGTTCATCCAACTTATGCTACAGAATTTAAGTTTGCAGAGTCTGAAGAACACAGCTCCTTTCCTACAGTATATAAGAATGTGCAGAACTACCTGATTTTATAACAGTATTGTTGTAAATGGTATATAATGTTACATTTTCTTTTAGCATCTCATCTGAATTTCCATGTTTAACATATTTTTAATCTATCAAGAGCCAATACCAGCAATAAGGAAATAGTTGTTTTTCTCCAGGGCATGAAGAAACCTCTGAAATATTTGACCCCATTTTATAGTTGGCCTGTGACTGGGAACTTTAAGTCAGCAAAATAACTTCCGTTGGAATTTTTAATATTCTTTAGAATAAAGTTCTTCCTTTCTGCTCTTTCATCAGGTTCATGCAAATGTTGAAAATTCTTGGAATGAGGAAGAAGTGTGGCGAATTGAAATGTATATCTCCTTTGGAATAATGAGCCTTGGATTGCTTTCTTTGCTGGCAGTAACTTCTATCCCTTCAGTAAACAGTGCCTTAAACTGGAGGGAGTTCAGTTTTATTCAGGTTTGTTACTTTTTCAGTGACGGGATTTTGGCGTTAACAAGAATTCCCTTGATTGTGATCAAGATCATAAACAAAAGCTCATTGCAATGTGACAAAGAGCCTTTTTCCCCTCTGTCTCTGGTAATTCAATAAAAACAACAATTACTTAGCAAATACATTACCATGAAGGCACATGAAGCATTTCATGAGTGTTAGAACTGGACTTTTCATTTTACATTTCTCGATCTTAAAGAACCGACATAGCTAAAACCAAATGTTCACTCATCTACTCCTTTTCTGTTCTTAGAATTTCTTGCTAAATTCAAATCAGATACATTTGGAAAAATCTGCTAAATGCAGTGATACTGATGAGATACTTGTATAGGTAGATGCACACAGCTATTAAAATTGAAGACTTAATTTGCCCTGCAAATGTTTATTGCACAGCCTTCTGACAGCCATCGTGCCATTGATTAAGTTTTACTTCCTGTCCACTGTGGGACCGACACAGCTCTCAACTGCATTATTCCCCTTAGCTGAGAATATCCACTAGTCAAATATGAAGCTTTGCTTATTAAAATCTGAGGCTTTTCAAGGCCCTGGCACACCATCTGCTGCCTGCCTTCCTCAGGTAAATACCCAGAACATGCAAATCTAACTAGCATTAAATGCTGAGAAATACAGACTTTAATGAACAACTCAATTCTTGCTCCTACACATAATTGCCAGTAGTTTTAGGTAGCAGTCAGTTATAAGACATTTTACTAGGATTCAGTCAGGTGAAACTTCCTAACTGTGCACAGTTTTGGGGTTTGTTATGTTTTGTTTTCTAGTTTTGGTTTTGCTACTATATTCTTAGCTTAGTCTTTTCTCATGAACATTTTTTTTTAGCTTAGCTTAATAATATTGCCTACTTCTGAGTCCTGTTCACTTCAGAATGTGAGCACTGACTTTAAAGTTCAGGGCTTGGGTTCTGCTTCATAATTCACAGACGTTTTAATGAGTGATGGGGAGCACTTCAATGCCTGTAGTAGTTTGAGGTCTGCAAAGTCTTCCCTTCCCTTATGACTTCCATTACTGGAAAACTGCAGGTAGACTTACAGAAAGTTTGCTGAAAAGTTTTTCAAAGTGGAGTTACCCTAACAGAACTGTTTATTCATGGTCATGGTTTTGAGCCTTCAGAAAGACTAAATACTCAAGAGTATTGTTACAACATCTCTGCCATTTGGAGTTCCCTGTGTGGGGACAATAGTACTGGTGTTGGGTGATATAAAACATTAGTGCAAAAGGGAAAAATATGTATTCACTTGTGAGAAACATGATGCCTTCATCCAGTAATAACTTCCAGCCACAAACACAGCATTTTTGTCTTATTTTTCCTTACTCATATTTCCAAATCTCAGGCTTGTGTGACTGAATCTAAACCCGCACAATAATCACAATGATGTATCTACAACTGCATATTTATTGCAATTGTTTCCATTGTAAATTAAGTCAAAATCGTTCCAAATTTAAATAATTATGAACTTTAATGATTCATCTGTCAGTATTTTGATTAATTTGTTTGGGAGTAAGTTGTTTGCTCTGGATGTATGTTACAGTTCATGCTGCCTCATGTGCAGAAGATAACTAGTATTGTTAATGAGCTATGATCATTTGCAATTCTTAATCACAAAAGTATTGAACTACTAAAAATTTCCTTAAAGTATGAGTATTTACTTTGTCATTAATTCTCAGGATGTAAGTTATTCTTCATTTAATGACTCGTGAAGAAAAATCTTACTTTTTTAAATCAGAAAACAGACTTCCAGTGATTGCTTACTAGAGTAAAAGGAGTCTGTATTTCTGTGTAAGTTTCACTGTCCCCAGTATGCAAGGAGAACAGATAAAGCATAATACTTCCTCTCTTTTATATTTTTCTTCTAGTGAAGTGCAGTGCAGTGAAGGAAATTGAATTTAATTTCTCAATCTTCTCTAAGTCAGGAGGACAAACAGCAGAACTAATAAGCTATCATCCCATTGCTGCTTTTCTTTCAGCTGGGAAAAGCAGTATGTCTCTAGCTTTAATCCTGAATCTCAGATGATTTACCACAACAGCTGCTGGACTTGCTTCACATCTGGCAGATGAAGAATCAGTCAGTCACAGCACACTCAGACAATGTCCCAGCTCAGCACTTCCCACTGAGAACACATTCTTGCTTGCTCATCTTGGTAAATGCAGTTTCATCAAAATAAGGGACAGGCATCTTCTAATTAATTTTACCACTAGAACATACTCATTCTTGAGTCCTACTAGGAAAATCTGAGTTTATTAAAACGTGCAGTATTGACCAGCCTTGTTCAGCAGAACAAGCCCTAAGCAGCATCTCCCCCAACTTGCAGTAGTTCCAACAGTCTCTGAACACGGTCTTCCTAACACTCCAAAGAAACACCAGTTGTCAATATTTTTGCACAGAAGTCATTGCTGTCTTTGATAAACCAAATTATTTTGGAGATGTCTCCATCTTACCTAGCCTGGTTTCAAACACAGGTGTCAGCAGCCCCAAATTTCCAGCCTGCTTCATCAAGGGAAAAGGACTTTGAGAGGACAAGCAGTGCAGGCTCTGCTCCTTCGCTCACAGTATGCATATGAACAAAGTGAGATATGAGAAGGTTTAATAGTGCAAAAGGAAATTAATGTGTCAGTCCTATAAGGAGCTAAGAGACCAGCAGAAAACAGGAATTGCTACATACAGAGCTGACCACTGTACAAAACAAAGTTCTGATTACTTCATCATTATTTGGAGAGAAACACTTACCCAGGTAGAGGGACCACAGAATGAGATGGTGATGAAGAGTTTTCTCAATAGGAGATCCTAGATGATTGAAACTTGGTGTGAAACTTTGCAGTCACCTTAACGTAACCCAGACCTGAAGTTTACTGAGAAAAGCAGCAGGGAAGAAAGCTAGGGCTGATAAACTAATGGATCAGTTTTCTTAAATGCCACTTCAGTATTATTCTTCTTCTCATCTAAATATATTTGAATAAGGAGCAAAGGAAGACATGAGAAACAATACAAAATAATTTGTATTTTTGTCACCGCAGGCAGAATAAACAGCTTAAACCAGTAACTGTAAACAGAAAAAAAGACATTTATTGAAACCAGTCCTTGAGTTTCATATAAAATACAAAGAAATGGAGACTGTTGTCTGCAAGCTATGCTGCACTGGGTCCTTCAGTCTAGTGAGGAAAGTTAAACTGTAAATATATAATGTAAACATAAATTATTGCTGCTTTTGTTTTCCAGTCTAAGACTTCAAGTCCAAAACCCATCATTTAAAGTGCAAATGGACAGAGCAGGCTGGTTATGAAAGCTAAACTTCATGCTTTTTAGCAAAACATAACACAAATCTCCCATTTGAGTGGTAGAAAGCCGACTTTTTTGTAGATTTTCCTTTTCTCTGCTAGCACAATTCTAAAGTTTTTTGGAGGCAGTGTGAGTAAAGCATTTCTCATACATACACTTTGAGGAAGGGCCCTGCCTTGGTTCTCCCACAAGAATAGGATACTTTTTCCCCAGAGTAAAGAAGACTGAGGCTTGAGTATTTAGCAAGTTTATGGGTAAGATTCCAGTCAGAAGTTACTACAAACAGTTTTTAAGTTTAGCAATAGCCTGTTACACAGAGAATCTGAAGTACATCTTGCATAAATGTAGAGTTTAGAAAATATCTTTTGTATATATAAATTGCTTGGAACTACTCGGCCGTTGTGAATGTAGAAATTCCTGAAGCAGATTTGCCCCACAGCATGTTTTTGTGTCTAAATATGTATATCTTGCTGGTAATATTTTAGGGGTTTTACTCTTTCATCTTTCCCACTCCTGTAACTTTTATTGGTTCCTTTCTCAAACAATACCAGTTTGTCCAGTTTATCAGCAGCCTTAGCTGGGAATCTCCCATATTGACTAAAAGCTGACTTTGATCAGGAAGGAAAAGGAACAAAACAGGGGGGACTTAGAGAGAAGCTAAAAGATTTGGGAGTCCATGGGAAATGTGCTAATCTATTACTCAGCTTTCAGGAAACACAGTATTATGGAAGATAAGGAAGCAAAGCAGCCAAAAATATTCTTCCACTTTTCCCAGCAGCCATCCTAAAGCCCAGGCAGAGGGTTGCCAAGAATTACAGCTGATATTGCTGCTCACTGCACTGTTCAATGTGAATTTACCAGTGAAGAAACAGTGTTGCTTCTTGCTGCTTTCAGAAATCCTCTGCTCTTAAAGGAATTATCATCTGGAGCCTGATAATGGTAAATAAGGGCCCAGTTGAAGAACATAGCATTAGTAGCTGACAGAAGCTATAGCAATGTCTTTGTTAGTTTTTTAGAGGTGTGGTTGAAATTGTGCAGTACACACTAGCACATGCTCTATCAACACTTCAGAGAAGCATATGGCAACTCTTCACAGGGCAAAAAAAAAGAATTTCATAAAAGTGCATCATATGCTTTTCTTGTCCTTTTGTTGTTAGATTAAAACATACTGATGTACTTCTTAGTTTCCATTTTGACCATTAGATAGAAAGACATTTATAGATATCTCAAAACTATAGCTTGCAAATGGAATTAAAATAAGCACTAAAATAAAAATAATTGGAAAGGACAATATAATATTTCCCTTCTTTTTTCAAGAATTGCTATATATCTCATCACTAATCTTGATGAAGAAATGAGGGATATGATTCATTTGTGCCCTTCTCCCTACAGGCAGTGATAAAACAATGAATTCAGGACAGTCATACCAACAAAAATCTGCAATAACATATTAAAACATCAGGTTTGATCGTATTGTTTACTGTCCAAATTTCTTACCAGAAGTTCCGTTCAGATACTGCATGTGCCATTTTCATATCCTCAAGTGTTTGTCTAAGTGTTCTGTTTACTATGGGATATTTTGGGAGCAAATTGTTTTTTTAAGAAAAAGTATGCAGCATATCTAAAGATTAACAAAATGGCCCTGAAACCATTGGCAAAAAAGATTCATAAATATTGGAAAGTCAAAAAACAGGGTACCAGTCCCAAGAAATTAATAGAACTATTTTCCTTTTATACAGTTATACCTGTGAATCCTTGCAAACAGTAGTAGCTCAGACATTCTTCTTGTTTTAGAAACTGCTTAATCTTGAAGGAATTAATTCTTTCACTACCTATTATAGACTCGTAGGCTGCATTTTTCTTTGCTTGTCTGTTTGCTAGAATTAGACCATACCTTGGTATCCAGTTACCTTTCTTAATGCTCTTTCTCTGTTTCAATGATTTTCTACAAATGTTTCCCAGCCCAGGTTAGTCATTACATCAGTCTAGGCCAGAAAGAGCTTTTCTTCATTTGATCAGCACCAGAAGTCAAAGCATAGTATTCTTCTCTTATAATGGTTCGGGAAAGTTAAGGTTGATGTATTGTCAAATCTGTGAAGCAGTACAGCTACAGGGTCCTTAAAAAAGCAGATTCACAGAACTGGAGAGTGACTCCTATTATCACCACCTTCTGTGGCAAGCTCTCAGATTTATGTGCTGAGAGGTCCTTCCTCTGCAGGCTGCTGTGGAAAACCTCTTTCACTTTTTATCCAGCACTGCCTGTTTATGGTAAACTGCACCACTGCTTTGTGCTATTATGCCCAAGCCCTGCAGTTCAGATAATTCCCATTAACCAGTCAGCAACAAGTGACGCAGAAGGGAAGGGGTGGTTTATGCTAACATCAGACAAGTGGATGTAGGCCTTTGTGAGGCAGAAGTAAGCTGTGCATCTCAGAGTGATAAAAATACGCAAGTTTAGGCCCAAATTTCCTCCAACAGAATTGCATTGTTCCATAATAAGGAATCTTGGAAGTGATCTATAATCATAGCTAAGAAATAGGAAACAATTTCCAATCACAATGGGTTCTAGTAACTACACTGGAGTTGTTCCTTATTGGCGTGCCTATCCTGAAGTTGACTTCCATTAGTTAGAATTTGGGTAGACATCATTTCAGCTTTGACTAAAGCCTGTAGATGTTAGCAGAGATACTCTGTAAATCAGTGCTCAGTTCAATCTTTAAATTTCAGAATATGAACTTAAAACCATATATTGCTAACTTAATGTACTAAATAGGTAAGAGATTTATATAGAAATGTTAAAATTATGCAAATAATGTATTAGGACTGTCAGGTGAAGGACCAAGTGCTATTACATCTTTTTTTTTCCTGTTTCTTCACAGTCTACTCTTGGATACATTGCTCTGCTTATAAGTACTTTCCATGTACTGATTTATGGATGGAAGAGAGCTTTTGAAGAAGAGTATTACAGATTTTATACACCACCAAATTTTGTTCTTGCCCTTGTTCTGCCTTCCATTGTAATCCTAGGTAAGATCGTGTTACTTTTGCCATGTGTAAGTAGGAAACTGAGGAGAATTCGAAGAGGATGGGAGAAAAGCCATGTTATAGAAGAAGTAAGCGGGTCTGTTCCACATCTCTCCCCAGAAAGGATAACTGTAATGTGATGATATCTGCTAACACTGTTGTACATGTTTGGGCTTTGGTTTTTTTGTCATAAACCTGCATTTTTAAGAGTTTAGTTAAGTAGGAGTCTTTGTAAAGTCTCTTGCTTGACATATAGTACATGCTCTTACCAAAACTATGAGAAGTTTGTAACTAGAAGACTACTACTTCTGATAACTACAAAAATATTTTTGTTTTGGATTACAAAGGGACGATGATTATGAAATTTTAAAAAAATCATGTTCCTTTGCACAGTTATATCACAATAGTATTTTATTAGAACCAGGCTTTACAGATTTTTTTTTTACTTAGAGCATATATGTCAATGTGCTGTTTATTAATTTGACATTTTCTGGGCAGTGTTTCTTCTATTAAAACCACATTTCTGGGTTAATGAGTTCAGAATATAAAGTAAATTATATAGAAAATAACCAGGGTTTGAAACAAATTAATTTGTAATGATCACAGAATCACAGAACGGTTTGATTTGGAAGGCACCTTAAAAATCAGTAAGTTCCAATACCCCCCTCATGGGTCTTGTCAACTTTCACTAGACCAAGTTGCTCAAAGCCCCATCCAGCCTGGCCTTGAACGCTTCCAAGGATGGGGCATTCACAGCTTCTCTGGGCAATGTGCTCCAGGGCCTCAGCATCTTCACAATAAAGAATTTCCTCCTAATACCCAATCTAAACCTACTCTCATTCAGTTTATAGCCATTCCCCCTTGTCCTGTCACTACATGCCATTGCCCTCTCCAGCTCTCTTGTAGGTTCCCTTCAAGTACTGGAAAGCTGCAATGAGGTCACCCCTCAGCCATCCCTTCCAGGCTGCACAGACCCAATTCTCTCCACCTTTCCTCACAGGGGAGGTTCCCCAGCCCTCTGACCATCTTGGTGGCCCTGCTCTGGACTCTGTCCAACAGGTCCATGTCCTTCTTGTGCTGGGGCCCCAGAGCTGGGTGCTGTGTTCCAGGTGGGATCTCTCTCACCAGAGCAGAGCAGAGGGGCAAAACCTCCCTGCCCTGCTGGCCACGCTGCTTTTGGTGCAGCCCAGGACACGTTTGGCTCTCTGGGCTGTGAGTGCACAGCTGGGTCATGTCCAGCCTCTCATCCACCAGCACCCCCAGGTCCTTCGGGGCAGGGCTGCTCCACATCCCTTCATCCCCCAGCCTGTGTGGGTACTGGGGGTTACCCCAGCCCAGGTGCAGCACCTTGCACTCGGTCAAGTGTATTGCACATTTACAATATATTTATTTGTGTGTGGTTTTACACCATTCCATCATTTAGATATGCAAACCCTGTTTCACTTATGGTGTGGTTGTACATCTTGTAAGCAAAGGGTATTGTGGTAATACTGTCTTTTTTTTTTCCAAAGTATTCTGTAGGATTTTAGACCTTTAGCATCTCTTTTATTTCCATATGTCATATAATGAAGATTCAACAAAACAGTGCTATACATTTGTAGAAAGATATGTGTGTAACCTAGTTTTTGATTTTTCAGTGATTTTGAAATATGAGGAAATATTTTAAAACAAAAGGAAAAGCTGAGAATTCAGCAACAATAAAAAACCCATTTTCACTGTGAAACTTCCAATATATTGGAAGCATCACAATACTCATGTTCTGTATGTGTCTGCACTAGAGTTTCAGTTATATATGCATTACCCAGAATGTGTCTTAAATTCTTAGTATCTTTTTGTGCAAATCCAATCTTCTATTTTTATATAAAGGTCTAACTTTTACAAGTGTCTCTGGGATATGCCTGAAGTTTTGAGAAACTGAGTTATTATTCTTATACTTAAAAATCTTTAAACCTTGACATTTGCATTTCCTGTTGGATTCTAAATAATGTTCACAATTACTTACTACTACTGCTGTGTCAGTAGTAATTACTCTTCTCTAACAAAACAACCAAACTCAACTCATACCTTCAGGCTGCTACTGCTTAATTAGCAAAACTTCTATTTCAGTGAATCAGATTGTGTATTTGGTCCTAATTTTCTTGTATTAAATTATATTTTTCTTATCTATATTTGCACTGTTAAAAAATCTCTGATTTTCTTAGCTGAACCTTCTCTTATTATTTATTACTTTGTAAGAATTTTTCCTATGATCTATCAGAAATACACAGAATTAAGCTTGAATTTATCCTTAAACAGCACTGGTCCTGTAAATCTCATTATCTCTGCTTGTAATGAAACAAATAGTTTCACAGAAAAAGAAGATTCTAGAATCAAACTCTGCCCCCAGTTATGCCAACCTAAGCCTAATGTTAGTTGTTCTTAATTTCAAATTCAAAATATCTACAACAATTTAATTTTTATTCTAGCATCCAAATTATCCAAACTTACACATCAAGCCTGTGTATATTCTGGGTTTGTTACAAAATAAGAGACAGTTGAACTTCCTTTCACTTTAAACATGTTCAAATCTAGAGATGAAAAATAAAATACTTGCATGATATTTTTTCAGAATTAAAGCATTTTTATATGTCTTGAGACATGTTTTGTATTGAATGAGATGCCAATGGATTCTTCTTGAAAATGGAGGTTTGTGAATATATTTTTTTGAAAAAAACAACTATGTTATGTGTGTCAACAGGTATTTGGTACTTTTTTTTACTTCACAAATTTTCAATTTCAACTAGTTGGAAAGCTCAGATTTATCCTCCTTTTTAAGCCTTGGTGATGGAGTCAATTGAAGGAAAAGAATTAATTTTATTTCACCATTTTTGCAAAAATAAATTATAGTAACAGCTATAATTAGTCAGGCTAAGGTCTTTGAGACTTGTCTCCAATAGCTGACAGGTGGAAGATGTTTCCAGAAAGAAAGCAGGTGTCTGTGGGGTTATGTCTCCGGGTGCTTGCACTCTGATCTCTCTCTGAATCCTTCAGGGAGATTCCTGACTTACTGACTCCAACAGGTGTCCAGTGATTTTTTTCTCCTAATATAATTTCTCAGCCTCTTGGAAATCAATCACTTTGGATTTGAGACAGGTGCTGCCTCTGCATTACTGTATTTAATAGCTACATTCTCCAAAAATTTATCAAACATTTTAGAAATTGAAAACTTTCATATTTTTAACAGAAAAATGAAGAAGAAGAAAAAGGTTCAACAAATCTATCAAATAAATGAAAAAATGTTTGCATTTTTTCTTTTTTCCAAAACCAAGTAAGTTTGTTTCAGGGTATTTATTTTATTGTTCCTCCTTCTATATGCAGCTATTTCAGTGATACTGATGGTGATACACAAGTACAATACTTTTTTATCAAACATTCTAGACATTAAGTGAAAACCCAGCTGTTCCTGGAGACAGACAGAAGCCTAAACTAGTGCAAATGAGATTTTCACATAAAAATTAAGAACAAGTAGCAATTACAACTTCTAACTTAACTTTGTCTGTAATTGCATTCCAAAAGGTCTATTTCTTAAAAGGCTTGCAGAATTGAATGTCCTGGACTGTTTCCTATTTCATTATTGCAGAGTAAAACCACACAAGGTTGAAGCATTGTGCTTCATTCCTTTAAATAAAATTAACTTTAAAAATCTTAGCACACATCAAATCTTTGAGCATTTTAATGAGATAAATACCACTCCACATTCTACCCCAGTCTTGCACATGAAACCTAATTAAAATCACTAGAATTGGCTGGTATAACTGAGAGTAGAATTTCATACCTCTGAACAGATTTAGGCAGAAAATATTACCATTGCCAATCTGACTACATTTGAAAATTGAATATGCTGCTATTATTTTACAGTCATTGTAGAACTTCTGTAGAATATGTAATTCCTATTCCCTACAATTATTCATTTTTATGCAATAGTGATAATGTTGCAGAACTATGATATTGTACTAACTGAAAATTACTGTCAAAGTCCATAGATATTGTATTGTAATGCACCCACTGACAGTATATACAGAAATGTGTTGGCCCTCTTTCCTATGCAAAAAGTTACTTTGTCATTAAATTTCTTCAACAGTGATTAAACTGCTCAATTTTAAACTGCCAAAGATGTCTAGAGAGAATAATGATGAGTCATTCCTATTTTCAAGCCGTGTGTATAAAATTTAAAATGTATTTTAACTTTATATGTTACTTGAAAGGTTGAAATGTTGAAGTATTAATAAACAGACAATATTTTTAGATCAACTATATGAAGGAATTTTGTGAAATATTTGTGCTACAAAAATGACATGGTTTCCTGTTAGGCCATGTAGTTACTTCTAACTAGAATAGCATGTTGACTTGTGATTTAATATTTTGTAGTGTTCTTTAAGGATCAATTCACTCTAACAAGACACTGTTAAGCCTGAAGGTAAACGACGCTCATGCATTTAGAACACTTTATACCCAGCATATGTTTAGTCCTACAAGGGATCTTTATTCATGTGACCAAACACATTGATTTCTATAGAACTCACCATAGGACTTCTGATTGGAAAAATACCTGAGGCTAATTGTTTCGTTTAGATTAAATATAAACAACTAAATTCATTTAGACATCTTAGTTACTTAGGAGAATAAATACATATTTTGAGGAATAGCCTGCTGTGAAATTATTTTTGTGTAGCTTTATATAAATTGCTTAACTGCCTCATGAAAATAAGTAATGAAATAAGCGTAATTTCTCTTAATTATTGTACAGTTAAAAAAATAGCGTTTAATATGTGATACAGAATTGTACACGTATTATAAAATGGAGACCTCTATTTATTTAGCAACAGATTATTTGTTTTCCATGGATATTAAGCTATTCTTTCTTAGCATTGTCTAAAATGAGTTCTATTACAGGTTCCATGTGTCTTTAATTTTCTCTTAATATTCTATTAATGTGGCAACTATGTACAAGTTAATTAAGTGCACATGTTCTTGAATTATTTAGCACTTTTGAGTTATTTAGAGATTAATTATTTTGTAATTGTTTTGCAAGTTCTTCAGCTTGTGGTAATGGTTACTGTGAATTGGTGCCACATTTAATTTTTTGTTCCAACATTGTGAATTATATGATGTGCCAACATAAGAAACATATTTTTATTTGGCATTAATTGCCTATAAAATAGTGTGTCTCGATATTTGTGTCTGTATGGTATTAGCTGCCCAACTAGAATTAAAGGAAATAGTTAATTAATATAAGACAATGAGTTCCCAAGTGGCAATAAATTTTACAGGTATGAATATAATTAGGAATCAGCTTTCCTCTGAATGTTAGATATATCAGGTGCATAAAAATTAGATGGATTCAGTTTTTCAGTGTAGTATTTTCACATATGCAGTGGTAATGAATACATATGCCTAGATCCTTGCAGACAGTGTCTCTCCTAATACACAAGGTTTTGATTTCTTGGCTGTTCATCCTGTAGTATTTTCTATCAATGTAATAAAAAATGTTGCAGTACTGATATTGTATCACCTTATGATACTGCTTGAATTAATTAGATTACAACCTTTCAAATAAGTGACACATTTAACTGACTTGAACAAGATCTCTGTCATTATATATTGTTTCTCATGCCTTGTTGGCAGTGTCTTACAGTGAGCATAATATGTCTCCCATGTGTAATATTCTCTTTGTAGTT